TATTGGGGAAGCACTCAGGAATGTATAAATCAGAAAACTACAGAATTCAATATGCTTTGAATCTACAACTATTTTCTCTGCAAGTAGAATTGAAGGGCTAGACCCCACATGTCATATAGATCTGAAAGAATTAGGGGAAGTTTTGTTACTTAACACATTCATAATGTTAAGTGGAAAACAGATTTGATAAGAATAGTACAGCATGATACGTGCATGTATTCATTAAAAACGTTTATATGTAAGTGTATGTTTGAAAAGATGGCACCAATAGTTTAATAGTGATATTTTTGGGAAAAATAACAGTACAATCTCTATTTATTTTTACTATATAATTTTTCAATTTCTAAATTCTAATATTTGAAACTGATCTAAAATAGTTAAGAGATGAAATCAATATTAAAGCCAACAAACTTCTCTCAATATATCCTTTTGAGAACGTATGTTCTACTTCACCTTAACTTGTTCTTCCTCCAAGAAGACAGCAAATATGCCTAACATCTAATGAGTAATATTTATATTTATACATGGACATATGTATCAAATAAATTGGCTAAAACAAAATTTATTGAGCAGTCTGGTGTCCATTAGGTTACAATATGTCTAATCTATAAATATAATTCCCTGTGTAACAGATTATTTCGCGCTATAACCTGCTTCTTGTGACTGTGCAGGCACAGATGGTTCTTTAGGATTGAATATAACATCTCTGAACACTTGTTGATAAGTTCTTTATCTACCATCACCTTTTCTATTGATCATTTATGTCAAGCAGCAGCAGAGATAAAACTTCAAGGTTATATATACGAAGTAATCTCTGTATTCTCAGCAATAATACATTATTTGCAAGGTTGTGGTTCAAGTGAAATAAGACAAACTGTAATAAAAAAAAGGTAAAATAATTCACTTAATTTGGGCCACTCTAAAAAGAAAAAAAACCCTATTAATTTTGGAAAATTGTCCTCCCAACAAAAAACTCCAAGGTTGAGACATTTCCTTGGGTAAAATAATTTAGGTCATAGAATAAAAAGGGTTTGCAAATTCTCATCCAAGAAATAAATGAAGAGATAACAGAGCAAGCAAGAATGCATTCAATAATAGTAAAAATACATTAGGGTTCTTTTAGATGTCTGCTAACTGGCTTTGTAAAATAACCCAGTCTCTGCTCTTCATATATTTAATTGTATGTTGATGTAGTTACTAACTGCTATTAATGTCTCTGTCAGCACACATGTTGAAAGCCAGGGTACGGTAGCGAGATTGTATTGAATAAAGGAACAGTGCAGTCCTCTGCCCCCGCGCCTGGGTGTTCCTTCCTGGGGCCCCTTGGAGGGGAGCGGGTTGAGCTTTCCTCCCTGCCCCGACCAGGGCTCCGGCAGCCGAAGACCTCCAGGACCAGCCACCACCATGCTGAGACCACTCTCCGCACACATGAAGGTACTGGCAGAGGGACAAAGCCACGCGGGTTCCGGGGCCGAGACCTCCAAGCCTACTCGGATTGGAGTCGAGCATCTTCCACCCAGATCCTCCAAATTCCAGTAGGCGGGGGTCACACCCACCACCTGGCCCCCTGGCGCCGTGTAATCCCATCAGCGGCCAAGACTCAAAGTCTATAAAATTCAGATCCCGGATGAGAACAGTGCAGTCTTCTGCCCCCGCGCCTGGGTGTTCCTTCCCAGGGCCCCTTGGAGGGGAGCAGGTTGAGCTTTCCTCCCCGCCCCGACCAGGGCTCCGGCAGCCGAAGACCTCCAGGACCAGCCACCACCATGCTGAGACCACTCTCCGCACACATGAAGGTACTGGCAGAGGGACAAAGCCACGCGGGTTCTGGGGCCGAGACCTCCAAGCCTACTCGGATTGGAGTTGAGCATCTTCCACCCAGATCCTCCAAATTCCAGTAGGCGGGGGTCACACCCACCACCTGGCCCCCTGGCGCCGTGTAATCCCATCAGCGGCCAAGACTCAAGTCTATAAAATTCAGGTCCCAGAACCGCGCGGCCGCATTTGCGGCCGCGGGACATTTTATCAGAGCTTTTTTTTTTTTTTTTATGACATCTTATTGTCTCATTCCTACTTTGGACAAACTTGCAGGCTATCGAATGTAGCCTGCCCACAGGGCAGAGTCTGGCAAACTCCCCGTGGCGTACCAAATATGCCAAATACCAGTAACAATGATGGGTCTCATTCTCCTAAAGAGCCTTGAATATAATCTCAGGGCTAGGATGAAAGAGACGTTACTGGGGCCTGCTCGAGGCAATCGACGAATAACAGGATGATGAAATGAAAAATGAAATGAAAAAGGGACTGCATGTGAAACCACTGAGGATTACTCAGGTGATCCTAAAGTTTGGACAATCCTTGTGTGTTTGTCTCCTTATGTGTTTGTCTCATTCTCTTTGACTGATTCCTATTGGATGGAAGTTTTTAGATCCCAATCTGACTGGCATTAGACAATTAACTATGGGAAGCATTGGGATATGGCTAACTGTATATTTACTCTTAGAACTAAAAGTGAGTTTTGCTCGGACCAAATGGCAACCAGACCAAATGGCAACTGGCTGATGAGATAACAGCATTCCCAGAATCAAGGTTCACCCTGCTCCCTGCACAGATTTAAAGCCCACCTGGCACCAGGGAGCTACCAGGCTGCATTCTATGCTTCCTCACATTGATCCCTACAGATTACAAGGCCAGACCAAACTCACTGGTCCCACTGGGTTTTGTTCCCTTTTCTTGCCCAAAGCAACTTAAAACCCCCCTTAGACTTTCCCAGGGTGTGGTTCTACCCCAGTCTCTCGAGGGCCAGTGTGGAGTCTGTTCAGAAGTGCACCCTCTATTTCTCCACTTTATAATAAACTTTTCCTAATCCTTTACTTTATTTGTCTCTGTCCCTCTGTCTGCACTAGAGTCATGGTTCTCAAATCTATCACTATACTAAATTGAGAATCATAGGGATCCCTGAGAAATAGGAAGGAGAGATAGATGAATGCCCAAGGAAGGAGATACCCTAAGGAGTAGAACAGAGATCCACCGAGGAACAGGAAGGAGAGATAGATAACTGGTCAAAGAAATTATAACCAAGATATTCCCTGAATTAAAGTCATGCATCCAGATTCAAAAAGCTCAAATAGTTCCAATGTAATATACCCAAATAGAAAAACTCCAAAACACACTGTAGTTAAAATGACAAAGACCAAAGACACAGAGAATCTCGAGAACAGCAAAATCAAAGAAGTAAATTACTTATGACTCACAACAGATCTATCAAGTGAAACTCTTAATGGCCAGAAATATGGGCTAGAGCAAACAAGATTAATGAAATAAACATCCCAACAAGAATATTCCATACAGCTATATTGTCATTCAAATCTGAAAAAATTGGCAAAGACGAGCAATCACTTAAGAAGTTCACAATCATGAAATCATGATTGTGATTGCTTGCAAGAAGCATTCATTAAGTGGTCTCCTTTAAAAGAAAAACAAAATAAAAATAAAATTAAATTTAAAAAAAAGGAAAACATCACAAACACTCATAGTGTCTACAAAACAATGGAAACACATTCCTTCAGTTCAATAATCTTGCCATGACTTGAACTGGGACTGGGATGGTCATTATCTAACATATTTAATGGTCAAGGGATATACTCATCAAGACTTTACACTTATGAACATATACAGACCTAAAGTAGGACCATCAAAATATATAAAATGACTGCTAATAGGCCTAAGAAAATGATCAACATCAATCAAAACAACAGTAAGAGATTTCTTTCCCCCACTTTATTTAACTACTGAGGTTTACAAAGTTGTTCATGATGTTATAAAGGTAAAGGTAAAGGCCTTCCCGTTGTTCATTGATTAGCTTGAGCGGGCCCAGTAACGTCTCCATTGGAAACTTTGTTGTTACTGTATTTGGCATATCGAATACGTCACGGGGAGCTTGCCAGCCAAAGAGAAACCAAAAGAACAATACAAAAGATCAAAGGAAAAATGAACTGAATTTACAAAAGAATAAACTTCTGTAAAGAGATTAGTAAAAAAAAAATTATGCTACCAAATTGGAGAACCTGGAAGATATGGATAAATTTTTGGAATTCTTGAATGTTGATTCAAATATTGAATCAGAATGTTTGAGCAGACAAACTATTAACAAGGATGTCAGTTGGGTAACCAAAAGTCTCCCTGACAAAAAAATGAAGTGAGGTGTGGTATTGGAACTGTGCTTGAAACTGAAACTATTACGAACAGTATTGTAAATCACAGCGCCTAGATAAAAAATTAGGGTGAAAACTTCATTTGGGTGCTGGGTAATAATAAAGCACTCATAAATCTGAAGTACATGAAATGGGGATTAATTCGGTAAGATCCCTGCCAAGCTATCCCCCTCACCACTTCCAGAAGGAACCCACAGCATTGCAGTGCATTCTTCCCTCCATTCCACTCTCCATTTCCTTTTTCTAAAAATATATATTTAGTAATTAAAAAATAAAAACAAAAATCTCAACTAGATAGAATTTTCCTGTTAACGTTAAAAGTGATAGCCATCATAAAAAATATTTAAGCAGAACCAGCATCTCTAGTAGAAGCATTTCTCCACTCCAGTTCCTCTTGGTGTCTTCTCTTTCTAACGCTCACCATTAGAAATCTTACTTAGAGCTGGGTAAGGTCATTCCTAAAAGCAGGTGCTTAATGCATCTTTTCAGCACTTTCTCATCAGCACACTCTCTCAGTGGTTGGAATTTTAGAATTTAGTCAATACTGGTGGCAGAGTAGAGAGACCTTAGTGAGCTGAGGTGGCATTTTACTCTTCGTAGGCGTTGAGAAATTTATCCCATTCCCTGAACACTGCATGTGACTGGATATTTTAGGCAGGAGTGGCTGTCTGAGGATCCCTGTTTTGGCCCAGGCAAGGGGTAAATGTGTCTTGGAGTGGCACTATCGCCGTTTGTAGTTCACTTTCCCTGGGCTTCTAAACCACCCAGTCGCTCAGATGTTAGACTCACCATTAAAGCCGATCACCGATTCAAGCTCTAGATCGGCCACGTCGGTTTTGGGCGAAATTTGTTCCTCCATTATCGACTGGACAACTTCGGCGAGGTGCAGCGTTTGAGATACAGCGTCTTTGGGTCGTTATGGTAACGGAATGCGCATGCGCTCCAGACCCACTGCCGTGCTGAAACCTAGTTGGCGAAGTTAATTTGCCGTCAGGAATTTGGGCGGAGCATTTCTTTCTAGTTCTCTAACCAATTGGGAGGCACTAAATGCAAATCTTAAATTTCCTCTTTTCCTCCTGTGACTTTCTCGGCGACTTAATCAAGTAACACAAATTATTTAAAAATCATAATGACAGGTTGCCTTTAATGAGACTGCTACTACAAAATACAATTGACATTTTGAGTTGATGTTTGAAGCAGGGTTTAAGAATTTTTTTTTTTTAAACTTCAAGTGAATTTCAGTAAATTTGTACCTGCGTGTAGCTCTCACCATAATACACGTTTTGTTCCTTTATTACCTTTGTTTTAAGCAGGATAACAGTTTAAGAAGCTGCTACCGGTCTTGAGGTGCTTCTGCTTTCTGGGAAATGCTTACACTTCGTCAATTCAGGCAGAATTAGCGGGAGCAATTGCATTTGCCTGCTGTGCTCTGGTGGAATGCTTCCCCCCTTTTAATAATAATTTTGGGAACTGATTGAGTCGGGGCAGCAGCGATAGCGCGGCCAGTTGGGTGTTTGCCTTGCACGGCCCGCCGCAGTTCGATCCCTCCGCCTTCAAGTCCTCCGCCCTTCTCGGAGAGCCCAGCAAGCTACCGAGAGTGTCTCGTGGACGGCAAAGCCTGGCAAGCTACCCCTGACGAATTCGGTGTGCCAAACACAGTAACAACAAATCTCACAATGCTACTGGGCCCACTCGAGCAAAATCGATGAACAATGGGAGGACAATGACCAATGACAATGACGATTGTGTCTATTCATTCTGAAAACTCCAGGGTTTTGGGCGCGCTCAGGCCGAAGGGCAACGTTTGACCCGCGCGGGCCACCGTAGTCAGCTGCTGCAAGCCGGAAGTGTCCTAGGAGCTCGAGAACTGCAGGATGGCCCCCGACCCCTGGTGAGTCCCTGCGAGCGTGCCTGGTCGTGCAGCTTCCTAGCCGGGGAAGCCCAGTTTCGGGGAGCAGGCGATTGCTAGACACTGGGGCTGGGGCTGGAGAATTTTCATGATGAGGGGGCAGCAGGAACACCTCGAGAGACTTGCGCCTGGTCACCCTTGGTTCTTGGAGGAAGAGACTAGACAGATTTCTGAGGAGCTGACTCGAACCCGGACTTTTAACGTCACATTTCTTTTGCATTTCGTCCAGACTTTCCCCCGTCACGCATTGATTTGTGAAGCAAGCTAATGCAGGCTTAGGATGCTGGCAAGAAATTGGAAAAGCCGCTTTCACAAAACGGAACTCTCTTTTTGTGGAAGGCCAGTCCATACAGTGGACTCATTTATTTTACGGATCGGTCACCAGCTGCTTAGCCTGTTGTCTCTAGTACCTATACTTTGTGCGTTCTTAAAAAACAAAATAAAACAAAACTAAACATGTTGTAAGAACCTGGGTGGGGGTCAGGGATGTGACTTATTAAAGTGTATTGTTTTGTTTGTTTGAGATTTCATCCGGTATCGAAGAAAAAAAAAACCATTTTGCTCAGAAGGCAAATCCTTGCTTTGGTCAAAGAGTGTAACGAGGCAATTTTGTCATCAGGACTAGAAATAAGACACATGCTTTGATCACATCACCCTGAGTTTTTTGTTTGCTTTTGGGCTGCACCCATGTGGTGCCAGGATGCAAAAGGGCCTGTCTCCTGCAAAGCACTCCGACCCTTTGATTTGAGGTTTTAATAGTTTTTCCTTCCACCATGTTCCCCGAGTTTTTAATAATTAAAGCATTATTATAGTTCTGTAACGTCATTGTTGTAGTAATTTGCCTCTGCTGTCATTTCTATTATAGTTAATAATTATTTAAGTTGTGATCTGGATAGTAGGAGAAATAGAATGTAAAATCAAGGTTTGGGGGTCTATATTGGATCTATTTGATATATATATACACACGTATATGTACATATATGCGCATTTACGAAACAAATTATATCGTTAAATGTCAGTGAACATAAAACAGGATTTTTCAGTGTTTTCATATTTTGAAAATATTTAATAATGGAGGTAATACTGGTTTACATTACTGTACATGTTTTAGAGGTACAACTGTGTACTTCTTCAGATGTATTTGTTACACCCTGCTTATCACAAAAGTAGCAAACACTTCTATCCATTTTGATAACTTCAGTTGTTCAATCAGAGTTTAATCAGTTTGTTTTGATTTGCCTTTATTCTCTTTTTTTGTTTCACATATAAATGAAATTATCTAGATTTTATCTTTTCTCACGCTTACTTTGCTTCACATGACCTCCTCTGAATGGAGAATCCATCAGTGTTGTTGCAAACTGCAAGATTTAATCTATAACTAAAAAGATATATATTGTAAAAATACAATTTTTATACGAAATCATATGCTTAATTATTTCCATCTTTGTAATATAGCTTTACTTCTAATGATTGTAAAATTTGCCTTTTTGTTAAACTCTTATATTTTTAGGCTTACTTTCTAGAACAGGATCTGTTGAGTTTAAGGATATGAGCATTTTTGCCTCTTCCTTTCATTGCTTTAATGATTGGGATTGGACATATATTGAAATGTGGTTCTCACCAGTGTACATGATACATGATACTCTGGGAGAGGGTTTATGCACTTGCTTGCCATGGTTCTCCTGGCTATAGTACTCACACCCTTCATTTATGGTCCTTGCACACACCTGAGTGCAGTGGGCCGGGGATCACACAAACATACACTACCTGCAAGGCATAAAGCTCAAAAGAAATTGGACTATGATACAAATGGCATAAAAAGATGTCAGAGATACAAGAAAAACTAAAGGAGTTAGTGAATAATCTGGTATGAGGAGTGAAAAAAAAAGTGATGATAGTGTGTCCAGGCCAAAGTAAGTGAAGAGGGTGGTGATGCCATCGAAGAAGGGTACCAGGGAACTGGAAAAGGGGGGAATAAACTAAGTTTCTAAATAATGAACCATACCCTTATTCTATCTCAAAAATACTGAGTATACAGTTAATAATAGTAAAAATATTTTAAAGTAAATAACATGTTGTATTTAGTATTAACGAAGGTGGCAAAAATAATTATCAGTGGTCCTGGGAGTGGCTCAATGATTTGAACTACTTGCTTTACTGATAAGAGATTGTGCATTCTATCCTTGGTGCTGCCCCCACACACCAACTCACTGCAGCTCTGCAGTTGGGATCCGTTGTGCCACAGTGATTTCTGGCACTAATATGTATTATATGTATTCTAATATGTATAAGAATTTTAGCCAATATGTGACCCCAAGCAAGTACCACTATGTACAATTGAATGTGTGAGTATTCAGATACTTTAAATATGCGGGAGGTAATTTTTTTTTCTTTTTTGGGTCACACCTGGCGATGCACAGGGATTAATCCTGGCTCTACACTCAGGAATTACCCCCAGCAGTGCTCAGGGGACCATATGGGATGCTGGGAATCGAACCCGGGTTGGCTGTGTACAAGGCAACGCCTTACCTGCTGTGCTATTGCTCCAGCCCTGGGAGTTAAAATATTTTGATAAATGGATTTTTTCCCCTCCCCCTCCACCACTCTTTTTTTTGACTTTTCTCACAATTCTAGAAACACATTTCCAGTTAGTGCCAGGAATATATGCAAAATCCTACAGCGGAACTAGTTACTCAGAGTAGTAAATCCAAAGTAGAACAATGATCTGGACATTAGCAGTCTGATGCAGTGTCATACAAAAGCTTAGTCTCTGAAAGAACATTTAACTGGATGTGACAACTGGCTATCATTTGTAGTATAGACTCATGTTAAGGGGAATGGAAAAAAGTGAGTACAAGGTCAGCCACGTGGAAGCAACCAACCCCCCATCCCACCCTGGCTCTGTGGCAGGGCATTCCCCTCTGTTCTCTCTCTCCTTTTGGGTGTTGTGGTTTGCAAAAGAAACATTGAGTGGCAATCATGTTTGGTCTATAGTCTACTTTCAGCATGCTTCTCCCTTCCTGGGAGGGTCCTCCCAACACCTTGCTGTGCTATCGCTCCAGCCCTTACATACATACATACATACATTTATGTTTGTGTGTGTGTGTGTCTTTGTGTGTGTATGTGTGTGTGTGTATAGTATCATGAATACCTCCAAAGAGGTTGACTTGATTATCAAAGGTCTAAGAAAAGAGCCATGAATGATTGGTAGTGATATTACTGTCTCAAATATTATCCACTTTATGACATATTGTTAAAGTTAAATAAGTTTTTTTTCTTTTTTTTTATTAAAAAAATTTTTAATAGTGAGACATCATGGGGTACAGTTGCAGACTTACACATTTTTGTGCTTGGGTTTCAATTATATAATGATCAAATACCATTCCTCCACCAGTGCCCACTTCCCACCACCATGCATCCCAGTATCCCTCCTGCCCCCCAACCCCCCATCCCACCCTGGCTCTGTGGCAGGGCATTCCCCTCTGTTCTCTCTCTCCTTTTGGGTGTTGTGGTTTGCAAAAGAAACATTGAGTGGCAATCATGTTTGGTCTATAGTCTACTTTCAGCATGCTTCTCCCTTCCTGGGAGGGTCCTCCCAACACCTTTATTTGGTGTTCCCCTCTTTATCTGAGCTCCCTTTTCCCTAGTATGTGTGGTTGGCCTCCAAGTCATGGAGTAGAATTCCTGGTACTAATCTCGGCCATTCTTGGGTGTTAGTTTCCTATTTTGTTACTTTATGTTCCCCAGATGAATGCAATCTTTCTATGTCTATTCCTTTCTTTCTGAGTCATTTTGCTTAACATGATATTTTCCATGTAGTACCACTTGTATGTGAATTTCGTGATTTCGTCTTTTCTAACAGCTACATAGTACTCCATTGTGTAAATGTACCAAAGTTTCTTTAACCAGTCGTCTGTTCTCGGGCACTCAGGTTTTTTCCAGATTCTGGCTATTGTAAAGAGTGCTGCAATAAA